GCATAGACAGCACCATTGAGGCCATCTCCATTTTGAAGTAGTTCATTTTCTTCTTCTACTAATTCTATGAGTTGGTAAACAAACTGAAAGGGTGCATACTGCCACCTGGAGTGTGTTGTTTGAAAAGGTATAAAGCCAAGGTTGGTGATTTGCTGCTACCTGCAGTTATGGAATGTTTGCTCAAGAGTATAATTCATTGGGTGATCCCTCCTGATGACCTGGATTGAATTATGTGATCCTTCCTTAACCCATAGAAAGTCCCACCCAGTTGACTTCTTCAAAGTGGCGCTGCCCATGCTAAAACAGGCTTTTGGGCACTAGAGTTGTCTATCTAAGCCTATGTTCTACCAGGGGTATTCAAATTCTGAACCTATGAGGTCCGGAGCCTGCTTGTTTTCTGTTTTACCTGATAATTAATCGCACAAAGCTGGTGTCCCAGATATAAATCAGTCCCTGATTAGAGGGGAACAATGAAAAAAAGCAGTGGAAGATGGCTTCGAGGTCCAGAGTTGAGTTGGAGGGGTCTAGACACTGCTGTGCAGAGGAATGATACTCCATCTCCACCTAATAATATTAAAAGGCAATGATAGCCAAGTATGGTGGTCTCTGTGTGGAAATAGTTGTTTGATGGTAAAGGAGCTATATTGGAGGAGGTACGGGCAACTCATTTGCACTACAGAAGAGCTTCTCAACTCAAGTTGTCTAGCACTGTGATAACTAATGGTTTCATCATGGCATTGTAACCTGCTATATTACCAAGACTTGTGGAGACTGGACAGCAATAACTAAAATTGAGCTGAATACGAGTAGACACTGTGTAGATAGACACTGGCTCTCAGGATCTTGAGTCCCAGCGGCTTAAACAGCCTATACCTGACATAACTACTCGCCACCAGGGGGCATACTTTCCTTCTTATCTGACAGTTGAGAGTCCAGCGATATCAATATTCAAAATCCATGTTGATTTCTATGTATATTGCGTATATAAAGTCTAAAGCCCCTTGAACATTTTTCGCATTTTTTATAATTAAATCTAAAAAGGGATTTTATATATATATATATATATACAGTACCAGTCAAAGGTTTGGACACACCTACTCATTCAAGGGTTTTTCTTTATTTTTATTATTTTCTACATTGTAGAATAATAGTGAAGACATCAAAATTACGAAATAACTCATATGGAATCATGTAGTAACCAAAAAAGTGTTAAACAAATCAAAATATATTTTATATTTTAGATTCTTCCAAGTAGCCACCCTTTGCCTTGATGACAGCTTTGCACTCTCTTGGCATTCTCTCAACCAGCTTCATGAGGAATGCTTTTCCAACAGTCTTGAAGGAGTTCCCACATATGCTGAGCACTTGTTGGCTGCTTTTCCTTCACTCTGCGTCCCAAATCATCCCAAACCATCTCAATTGGGTTGAGGTCTGGTGATTGTGGAGGCCAGGTCATCTGATGCAGCACTCTATCACTCTCATCTTGGTCAAATAGCCCTTACGCAGCCTGGAGGTGTGTTTTGGGTCATTGTCCTGTTGAAAAACAAAATTATAGTCCCTCTAAGCGCAAACCAGATGGGATGGCGTATCACTGCAGAATGCTGGTTAAGTGTGCCTTGAATTCTAAATAAATCACAGACAGTGCCACCAGCAAAGCACCCCCACACCATCACACCTCCTCCTCCATGCTTCACGGTGGGAACCACACATGCAGAGATCATCCATTCACCTACTCTGCGTCTCACAAAAACACGGCGGTTGGAACTAAAAATCTCAAATTTAGACTCATCAGACCAAACAACAGATTTCCACCGGTCTAATGTCCATTGCTTGTGTTTCTTGGCCCAAGCAAGTCCCTTCTTATTATTGGTGACCTTTAGTAGTGGTTTCTTTGCAACAATTCAACCATTAAGGCCTGATTCACACAGTCTTCTCTGAACAGTTGATGTTGAGATGTGTCTGTTACTTGAACTCTGTGAAGCATTTATTTGGACAGCAATCTGAGGTGCAGTTAACTCTAATGAACTTATCCTCTGCAGCAGAGGTAACTCTGGATCTTCCTTTCCTGTGGTGGTCCTCATGAGAGCCAGTTTCATCATAGCGCTTGATGGTTTTTGAGATTGCCCTTGAAGAAACTTTCAAAGTTATTGAAATGTTCCGTATTGACTGACCTTCATGTCTTAAAGTAATGATGGACTGTCGTTTCTCTTTGCTTATTTGAGCTGTTCTTGCCATAATATGGACTTGGTCTTTTACCAAATAGGGCTATCTTCTGTATACCACCCCTACCTTGTCACAACACAACTGTCACGACTTCCTCCGAAGCTGCCTCCCCTCCTTGTTCGGGCAGGCTTTGGCGTTCGTCGTCACCGGCCTTCTAGCCACTGCCGCTCCATATCTCATCATTCCATTTGTCTTGTCTTGTCAATTACACACACCTGGTTCATATTCCCCTCATTAGTACGTGTTTAAGTGTTCCCTCTGCCCCCCTTGTCCTTGTGGGTGATTGTTCATTGTGAGGATTAGTAGCTCGTTGAGCTCAGTATTTTGTATTGCCGGGGTATTTTCCCCGTGTGCATGTTTGTTCCAGTGTGCCTGTTTTGCGCACTGGACTGGTTACGCTGGATTACGGAATAAACTCTGTATACTGTGATTTACCCTCCAGCGCCTGACTCCTTCAAATCACGCATCACAACAACTGATTCGGCTCAAACGCATTAAGAAGGAAAGAAATTCCACAAAACTTTTAAGAAGGCACACCTGTTAATTGAAATGCATTCCAGGTGACTACCTTGTGAAGCTGGTTGAGAGAATGCCAAGAGTGTGCAAAGCTGTCATCAAGGCAAAGGGTGGCTACTTTAAAATCAATTTTGATTTGTTTAAAAAAAAATTGGTTACTACATGATTCCATATGTGTTATTTCATAGTTTTGATGTCTTCACTATTATTCTACAATGTAGAAAATAGTATAAGAAAAACCCTTGAATGAGTAGGTGTGTCCAAACTTTTGACTGGTACTGTATACATACAGATCTACACAACCTACACATTTTCAAAGTAAAATAAAGTTGTAGAAAAATCATAATTGGATAAGTCTCCAACCCCTGTGTTAATACTTGGTAGAAGCACATTTGGGAGCCATTACACAACTCTTAGGGCTACATATATCCATTGTTTTTGTCAAAATTGCTCAAGCTCATTAAATTTGGTTGGGAATCATTGATGGACAGCAATATTCAAACCTTGTCTGATTTTCAAGCAAATTTAAGTCAGGACTGAGACTAAACTGATATGGCCCTAGGAATATCTAAATCCTGCAGGAATATAATAATAATAATATGCCATTTAGCAGACACTTTTATCCAAAGCGACTTACAGTCATGTGTGCATACATTTTTACGTATGGGTGGTCCCTGGGATCGAACCCACTACCCTGGCGTTACAAGCGCCGTGCTCTACCAATTGAGCTACAGAGGACCACAATATCATGTTTGTGCAGGATTTTTAACATTTTCTGCAGGACTAGCATCAGGGACTTTTCCTGCAGGATTTTGTCAATCTTACAGATTCATGCAGAACACCTGCACAATTCCTTCACAAAAGGTTGAATTCATGCAGGATTCCTGTAAGGGATGTTATAAGAACACCCATCCACCCCGACCACCCATCCACCCCGACCAACCATCCACCCCATCCACCCCGACCACCCCGACCAACCTTCTGTCTTATGTAACCATACCAACCATAACATATCATACTAATTGGAGTGTCCCGGATGTATGTTTACTATGTTACATCTAGTCTATGAGACTTGGGGAATTCAGAACAGTAATATGTTAGCTCATACGTTTTCACACAATACTTGGACAGTTGTGAGGAAACAAGTTGTATTACTTCTTTGCCCACTGTGTAATGTGCTTTACAGTAAAAATAATAATTATTTTAAATGATGAACATCATTAATAAAAATAGTCCCAACTGGAAAATGGCCACTGAAAAATGGTTGCCTTCATGAAGTGGAAAAATGTACAATTACTGATTACATATTTATTAAGTGGAAAAATGTACAAATACTAATTACATATTTATTAACTGTTATTACCATCTTACAGCAGCAGTGGAATCTAAGTACCATAACAACTAGCCTTTACTAAGGTGCAGAATATTTTCATTATTGAGTAAACATTGAGTGTAAATTGTTGGAATGACTTAATTATTAACATTGAAATCGACTTCAGCCTGAAGTGCAATATGTAGTTGAGCAATTTTTTTTGAAGTAAACTAAAATGAATTAATTGTACAGCAAAACTGACTCTAATTCTATTGGTCTCCAACACCATTTTAATCAAAATGTCAGACAATATAAAGACAAATGTCACGTTCGTTGAGAGACGGGTCAGACCAAGGTGCAGCGTGGTATGCAAACATGTTTATTAAATCAAATAAACATTAAACAAAACAAGAAACAACGTAACGTGAAGTCCTCAGGCTAAACACATACAAGCTTAACACAGAACACGATCCCACAATCCCTGTTAGGCAAACAGGCTACTTAAGTATGATCCCCAATCAGAGACAACGAGCGACAGCTCTCTCTGATTGGGAATCACACCCGGCCAAACATAGAAATACACTACCTAGATCACAAACATAGAATCTCCAGCATAGAATCTCACGCCCTGACCAAACCAACTAAAGACAACAGACCTCTCAAGGTCAGGGCGTGACACAAATTATAAATGGCCGTTTTTTAAGTTTTATATGAACTAATTCAGCATTAGTGTTTCCAGTTTCAACTTTCCCCTTTCAATGCAGGAATTTGCAAAAACCGGAATCTCAACATTCCCAGTTGGAATGCAGGAATGTGTGAATAAAGTGTCTGAGTGCCCTTAACTTCCACCCCAGAATGTAATTCCCTTACAAACATTTCAAAAACTAAAAAATTGTAGAAAGGTCAACGTTCAAATGTGAATAATTGCAGTATCCGGGTGTGATTGTCAACACCACAAGGCTGTCAGTTTAGAAGTCAAACTTTATCGACAAAGACATCTGATCAAGAAGGCATGAAGTATGTGTTTGTGTATAGGAATTTGTTGGTGAAAATATGTATTTTTGCAGTGTGTTTGTGCGCATGATATGTATGATCAGTATCTATACTTTCCAGGAATGTTTGTGACTTTACAAAAATGTGAAAGTTTTAAGACATTAAAATAGTGCAATAGGACACTACCATCAAAGTGGGAAAAGAGCTATTAACAAATTCCAAAATCAGCTAAATGATTCCCTTCCTCTCCTCCTTTTCTCTCTCCATCCCTCTGTCAGTCAGCCTGTCTGTCGGTAGCAGGCATCGTGGTAGGACGTGGCGTTGAGGACACTGAACATGTCTTTCCTGACGAAAGACAGGAAGTTACCTAGGGGGCATAGTGGCTGTGTGGCGTGGTGGTCATGTGAGCGACAGAAGGTGGTATGGAAGGTTACGTCCTCTCCATTGTATAGAACCCTCACAAACATGTCCCCCCCGTTACCACCCTTTGACCTCTCCCCTTTCACCCTAGCAGCCTTATCCTGGCCCTGCCCTTGCCCCTTACGTTGTCCCTGCGTTGCGGGCGGACTCTTCCACAACTCAAACACAACCCTCGCTGCAAACCTCGGGAACAATGCCTCCTCCAAGCCCAGGGCGCTTAGTAACGGCGCCACGGTGACGTCGTGAGCCGAGGACAGGGTGAACACCTCCTCTCCTCCAGCGCGGGGTTTTCGGCCTGGAGCGTTGGCCTTGGCGACGCGCTCCATCCTGTTGGCGGTGCGGTTGAGGTAGGGGTGCGTGGCGAGCAGGGCGTAGCGGCGATACAGCCCCACCCTCCTCCTGTCCACCTCGTCCTCTAACTGCTGCCTGCGGATCACAGCGAACTGAGCCAGAGTCAGACAGCCCCCACTGCCGATAGCACTCCCTGCTGGCACACAGGGGAAGGACAGGCCGTGGCACAGGTGGCACAGAAGAGAGTCTATAGGGTTGGCAGCTCTGAGCTGGCGCGGGGGCAGACCTAGCGTACGGGCCATGTCTGCGTAGGTCCTCTCCAGTTCAGTGTCTGCCACTCTAAGGCGGTACTGTCTCCTCTGCTCCTCCTCCAGATAGCGGTTCCTAGCAGGACAGTCACAGGCTGAGCCACAGAACAACGTGCTCCACTGGTGGTGGACTGTCAGACGGCTCCAGTCAAAGTCTGGCAGGAACCCATACAGAAGAGCCATCCCGCTCTGGAGGGTGCGGCTCCTGCCCGTAGTCTCCACCCACACCTGCTTGGTCGACCAATCGGGCGGGAGGAGTTTGTGGCGCTTGTAGGCTTGGCGAAGGAGCTGGCCATTGCGTAAGTGCTGCACCACACCTGAACAGGGGAAAGACAGAGATTGGTTGCACATTTCAGATCTAAACCCAGCCCGTCTGGAATGCGATTTGTTGGTTCATTACACATCTTTAATGTGATTTATTGGTTGGTTACCTGTCTGAGTGAGCTCGCCCATCTCACAGGCGTTGTGGTTAGGGAGGCGAGGCAATGAGCTGAGAGTCCCCTCCCATTGGCCACGCCCCCCCTGGGCCATGTGACCAATGAAGGATTTGAGCTGGGGGTGGGAGGGCTTCCTGGAAGGTGGGAGAGAGAAGAAAGAAAGAAAGAAAGAAAGAAAGAAAGAAAGAAAGAAAGAAAGAAAGAAAGAAGAAAGAAAGAAAGAAAGAAAGAAAGAAAGAAAGAAAGAAAGAAAGAAAGAAAGAGAGAGAAGAGAGTGGGTTTAAGTGACATGATGAATATGTGCCATGTGGAAGGAAACAACCGTTCATATAGGATGAAAACTATAGTTAAAGTTGCATGCAGCCTTGTACTGTGATGTCTCTACCACCAGGGGGCTGTCTAACACAACGACTGAGCCTAGTTCAATGTGTGAGGGCTATATAGACACAATCAGCAGAGACTTGGCTACAGAGACAAGAGCATCATCTTTACCTCACAGTGAGGTCAGTGTACTGTCAGGGCAGGGGATGATCAGTCAAAGATCTAAACGATTAGAGATGATTAAGGATTACAGTTTAATACATCAAATCTGGGAGCTGCAGCTCAACCGCACCACAGCGCTACAGATTAAAGATTATTTATGGGATGGCAGGGGCTCTACGGTACACACGAGCACGCACACACACACATACACGAACACACACACACACACACACAGTGGCACTCTGGTTTCCATAGCGATCCAGTTCTGAGACGTCATCCAAAACCACATCACATCCTATCATTAGTCTCAGATTTTACTAGGTTTGTCATGATTGGTTGAAACATTGACCGTAAAGCTGTGCCTTCCACCACAGAATAGTATTACATCATCAAATCACGTTTGCCAGGCAGCTCCAGTCTCTAACTAACGTTTGTCAGGCAGCTCCAGTCTCTAACTAACGTTTGTCAGGCAGCTCCAGTCTCTAACTAACGTTTGTCAGGCAGCTCCAGTCTCTAACTAACGTTTGTCAGGCAGCTCCCAGTCTCTAACTAACGTTTGTCAGGCAGCTCCAGTCTCTAACTAACGTTTGTCAGGCAGCTCCAGTCTCTAACTAACGTTTGCCAGGCAGCTCCAGTCTCTAACTAACGTTTGTCAGGCAGCTCCAGTCTCTAACTAACGTTTGTCAGGCAGCTCCAGTCTCTAACTAACGTTTGCCAGGCAGCTCCAGTCTCTAACTAACGTTTGTCAGGCAGCTCCAGTCTCTAACTAAAGGATCATGCACTATGCTGGTGTTTGATTTAACATTCTTCTATTCTATTGCCTTGCTCACTAAATATCTTTCTCAATGGTTGCCAAATCCCTTTGAATTGTCAAGCAAGACAGAGCAGGAAAGGGAGAGAGAGAAAGAGAGAGATAAAGAGAAAGAGAGACAAAGAGAGAGAGACAAAGAGAAAGAGAGAGAGAGAGACAGAGACAAAGAGAAAGAGCGAGTGAGAGAGAGAGAGAGAGAGAGAGAGAGAGAGAGAGAGAGAGAGAGAGAGAGAGAGAGAGAGAGAGAGAGCACGAGAGAGAGGAGAGAAAGGCAGGCTAAAGAGGGGGAATAGTTTCCAGCTGGAGAGACCACAGACAGAGACAGTGGGTCAACTCGGCATGCTAGTGCCAGCTATGGGGAATTACACGCACACACACAGACACACACTCCAACTGTCCCCTAGGATCCCGCCTATAACATATGCTAGTGCAGAATAGATCCCCATAATTACACACTGGCCAAAATAAAAACAGACCCAGATTGTAGACCTTTATAAATAGGACTTTCATAAATGTAAATCTCTCTCTCCCAAGCACACACACATAATCCACACACACCCCAGAGGCAACACAGCTTGCTCATACACACGTCTGCTGCATCTATTGCAGCTCCAGCAAAACTAAGCTCCTCTCTCAGGAGGTTCACATCTCAACCTCCCCAAGTCTCTCTTCATCCCTCACTCTCTCCGTTTCTCTCTCTCTATGTCTCACACTCCTGTTTTCTCTCCGTGGATCCTTCCCACTCTCTCTGCTGTGTTGCCTTGCATCTCTCCGTTTCTTTCTCTCTCTCATCCTCCCTCTCTCCTTTCAGCTCTGACTTGGAGTGGAATGTCGGTGCTGAGAGCCAGATGGCATTGAATACTGGTCCAGTCACACCACACACAGAGAGAAGAGACAGAAGACAGCAGAGAGCTAGTAGAGAGAGAGAGAGAGAGAGAGAGAGGGAGGAGAAGAGAGAGGATCCGAGAGATAGAGAGAGAGAGAGAGAGAGATGTAGAGAGAACATAGAGAGGACAGAAGATAATAGATATGATCTGATAACAGAGACAACAGCGATAGGTATCGATATAGAGAGAGAGGTCGTAGGCTAGTGGGTACAGCCACAATCCGACTGTCCGTGAGCTGCTCAGTGTGGGTTTGGGTCACAGGAGGCTGCTGAGGAGGTGGAGAACGACTCATTATAATGGCCGGAACGGAAGCAAATTGGAATGGCATCAAAAACCTGGAAACCTTGGTGTTTGATGTATTTGATACCATTCCACTGATTCCGCTCCAGCCATTACCACAAGCCCAGTCTCCCCCAAATTAAAGGTGCCACCAACCTCATGTGGTTTGGGTTATGCCTTCTTATGACATGCCACACATTAGTGAAGATGTGTAATTATCTTCTAGCCAAGGTTTGGCTTCATAGCAGACATATTCACCAGTCCTCTCAGCTCTGTTAGGGCACAGGCCCAGGTGGCCCACAGATTACTTAGCCGATGGTACTGACTCTCCAGGTCTGGCAAGACCCATCAGCTCAAATGAATGCCGCATGTTTGATTTTTACAAATGGCCAGAGACCAGATATCCCAACAAGAGGATTGGGGAGGAATTTATAATCGGCCATAGTTCAGAATAACATGGCAAAGATCCAAGGTTATGCAAGTCACCGGGGGATCACTCTGTGTGGTGCCAACAAAGTAACAGAACCCAGAGTGCCCTCACGACACAACCTCTCTCCCACACACACTCTTTCACAACACACTTCTGACTGAGGGAAGCCAAGGTCTGAAAGAGCTCTGTCCTGCCCGTCATCGGGTGTTACTTTTGAGAAGTGCAAAGGGAAGAGCCCAGCATGACTTCCCTTTCTAAAGTTAAATTAAATATCTTATCAAAACTGTCCTCTGGTGATGGATGGAGAGACCAGAGAGTGGGATGCAGTGGGAGACAGACCGGATGACATGGTGGGGGAGGATAGAGGGGAATTGAACAGTGGGCAGGACAGACAATGACAGTGATGGAGAGGGGGGTGAACTTGGGATGACAGACAGGATGAGCAGGGGAGTATAGAGGTGGGGTGAACAGTGGGAATTGACGAGACAGGGCTGCACTTTGGCTGATCGTGGTTTTTTTCCCCTTGGGGATGCCGCCCGTCTTACGCCTTGAGGGTGGCTAGCTCCGGGGGTGGTTCCCCATGGGGCTGCACCCCCCGGCTGCCCCGGGTGGCTGTGCGTGGTGTTGGAACACAAATGAATAAATACAGTTTAACACAGAGAAGAAAATGATCTGGGGAAGAATGATAACATGAAAGATAGAGAGGATATCAAATATCAAATGGTTTGTTGTTGCTGAAGTCATTTCTCAGGGGGGAGTAGGTTTCTGACCGTAAACATTAATTGTTCTAAAAATCTTAAAATCACGCAGCATGAGAAAATTGTGTTTTTTCAAATCAATTAGATACAGAGCAGCAAACCGTGTGTGTGTGGTTGCCTTAGTGTGTGTGTATACACAAATTTGTACTATCTGTGATGAGTACCGAGAAGTAAACCTGAACATAATATACACAAGCAACAAAAAATAAAATGTGGAAACTTGAGGGAGCATATGTGCCGGTCGTCGACTTGTAAAAAGGAACTATTGTATGGCTTAGGTGTAGATTTAAGGTAGGTGTTAGGAAGGTGGTATCCGTTTACGGGTCCGGGGTCGCCCGTTCCGGGTTCTGGTTGTCGGGGTTGACGGTTAGGTTCCGGTTTCGGGAACAATAGGCTTTTTGAATGGCACTCCTTGTTAGTCTCCCAAGGTCCCTCACAATTAATAGGTACGACATAGCTGTGTGATGGTGTGGTGTGTGTGTGTGGGTGTGTGTGTGTGTGTCTGTGGTGTGTGTCGCGCATGGCCATCTGAAACACCAGAGAGTAATCAGTAAACAGTATAGTAAACCGAAACCCAGTAACTTCACACAACACCACGTGCAAGCATGACACAGGCTACCAGAGAGAGACAGATGAAAGAGATGGGAGGGGAAGACAGTGACATCATGACACGGCCTACCAGAGAGAGACAGAGATGGAGAGAATACAAATTGACATGAAAGCATGACCATTCTACCAGAGAGAGACGAGATGGAGGTAAGACAGTGACCAGCATAAGACACAGTCTCACCAGAGAGAGCCGAGATGGAGGGAACAACACATTGACAAGCATTACACAGTCTACCAGAGATAGACAGAGATGGAGGGAAGACGTGACAAAAGCATGACAACAGTCTACCATAGAGTAAAGACAGAGAGATTTAGGAAGACCGTGACAAGCATGACACAGTCTACCATAGGATACATAGATGTAGGGGAAGACAGTTGACAGCATGACAAAATACGTCTACCCCCCCCCGGAGAGAGACAGAAAAAAAAAAGGGAAATGGAAAGGGAGACAGGAGTGACAAGCAATGACACAGTCTACCATATAGGAGACAAACGGATATGAGGGAGACAGTGACAACATAACACAGTCTACCCAGAGAGACAACGAGATGGAGGGAAGACAGTGACAAGCATGCCACAGTCTACAGAGAGAGACAATAGATGGAAAGGAAACAGTGGACAAGCATGACCAGTCTACCAAGAGATACAGATTGATGGAAGACAGTGGGGAACAAAAGATGACACAGTCTACCAGATCGAGACATATGATGGAAAAGGAAACATGACAAGGAAAAACTGACACGTCCTACAACAGAGGAGAGACAACAAATGGAGAAAGGACATTGACAGCAAGGACACAGTCTACCAGAGAGAGACAAAGAGATGGAGGTAAGACATGACAAGCATGACACAGTCTACCAGAGAGAGCATAGATGGAGGGAATACAGTGACAAGCATGAGACAACAGTCCTACCATAGGCGACGAGATGGAGGGGAAGACAGTGACAAGCCATGACACAGTCTACCAGAGAGAAACGAGAATGGAGGAAGACAGTGACAAGCATCGACACAGGTCTACCAGGAGAGAGACAAAGATATGGAGGGAAGAAGGGACAGGTGACAGAGCAAAAAAGTTACAAGTCTACCAGGAGGGAGAGGGACAAGATTGAGGGAAGACGAGTGACAAGCAGACACATTCCTAGCGCCAGAGAGAGTACAAAGATGGCTGGGGGAAGACAGTGAGCAAAGCATGAACAGCTGACCATGATAGAGAGACCGATATGGAGGAAGACAGTGACAGATGACACAGTCTACCTAGAGAGTACGGAAAGAGAAAATGAGGGAAGACAACAGTGGGAGAAAATGAGACACAGATTAAGAGTCAAATGGAGAGGTTGGACGTTAACATAGTCATCGAATTTTGTTAGAGCTCGAAAACGTTTAGCTGATCCAGTCTGATGCTCGCTAGGTGCAAAACAGCGACAAAGGTAATAAACCCTTGGCCCCAGGCAGGACATGCACCTCCCTGAACCTACTCAGATAATATCCATAGCAGACATCGGTCAGCCTGACCCCAGAGAGGCACTACATTATCACACTCGACTGAAGCATCTAGTAGCGGGTCCAAATCACCAGCTAATCACTTCCACTAACAACAACCAGCTCATTTTCCCTTCTCACATTCCCCTCTTCTTTCATAATAGCAATTATGGCTTAACGCTTTCAACTGATATGCTAACCAGAAACCTCTTCAAAGTAAGCAAAGTGTATCATTTTCCTGGATGCATCAAAACTGCATTTGATCTACAAAATAACTACTGATCTAATGATCAAAAACAAAAAACCAAAAAATTAATATTTGCAAACCTTTATTTAACCAGGTAAACCATTTGAGACAAAGTTCCTCATTTACAACTGCGACCTGGCCAAAGATAAAGCAAAGTGCAGCTCGATAAAACAACACACCGAGTTACATATGGATAATAAAAGTACAGTCATAACACATGAGAACCAATCTATATAACAAATTGTGTGCAAATGTAGTAAGGTTCTGGAGGTAAGGCAAAATAAATGGGCCTAGTGAACAGAATAGATTCCAACAAAATTTTTCGTATTTCACACGGGACTGATGAGAGTGCAGAAGGTGATGTGCAATGATCTAATGGTCTAAAAGCATCTCATGGTGTGTCTAACGATCGAATGACGTTAATTGTCTAATGAAGTTAAATGGTCTAATGATTTAAGAATTTAAATGATCTAAATGATTTAATGGGTTAATTATCTAATGATTCATATGGTCTAAGTATCTAGATCTAATGGTCTAATGAATCTAAGTGCTCTAGTGATCTAATTGTCTAATGGTCTAATGATCTAATGGATCTAGTGATCTAGTGATCTAAGTTGATCCTAATTGTCGATGGTCTAATGATCTATGGTCTAATGATCTAATGAGAAGCTGTGGAGCGGGAGTGAATACCTCCATTTACAGTAAGGACTGCAGTTAATCAGGAGGCCATCTTTATTTAACAAAGTCCTTAAAAAAGAGAGGATATCAAATATCAATGGGGGGGTTTATGCTAATCATTTCTCAGTGGGGATATTTCTGACAGTGACAGTTTTCTTTTTTCACAGCCTGGAAAATTGTTTTTTTTAAAATAAATTTAGATAAAAAAGGGGGCCCCAAAAAAACGGTGTGTTGGGGTTTGCATTCGTGGTGTGTAACACATTTGACTAATTGTAGTACCAGAGTCCTAACAAGGAATAGTAAACCAATAAAAAAATTTTGGAAACTTTGAGACATTTGCCGGTCGACTTGTAAAAATAGGTATTTAGGCTAGGGTAGATTTAAGGTTAGTGTGTTAGTGTTCATTTTAGGTGGTTAGGAGTTAGGGTTTTTAGGGTGTTAAGGTTAGGTTCGGTTTTGGGACAATAGGATTTGAATGGGAACAATTGTTAGTTCTCCAAAGTCTCACAGTTAGTAAGACATAGCTGTTTGTGTGTGTGTTGGCGTGTGTGGTGTGTGTGTTGTGTATGTGTGTCTGTGTGTTTTGCCATCCATCTGCACCAGAGTAGCGCAAAAGTAGTAGTAACCAAACACATAATCAAACACACAGACAAGAGTGACACAGTCTAACCAGTAGAGGAGACAGAGTGGAGGGAAGACAGTGACAGATGCACTTGTAAACAAGGATTAGCTCAGGGTTAGATAGAAGGAGATGGAGGAAGAGTGACAAGCATGACACAGTCTACAGAGAGGAATAAGATGGAGGGAGACAGTGAAGCATGACACAGTCTACCAGAGAGAGAAAAGAGATGGAGGGAGACAGTGACAAGCATGACCAGTCTCCAGAGAGAGACAAGTATAGGGGGAAGACAGTGACAGCATGACCAGTTTACAGAGATGTGGGATGTGGGTGTGGTGTCTGCTTGTGTTCTCCGCGAGACAGAGTGGAGGGAAGAGTGACAGCATGAACAGTCTACAGAGAGAAGAGTGGAGGGAAGACAGGACAAGCAACACAGTCTACAGAGATACAGAGATGAGGGCAGACAGTGACAAGCATGACACAGTCTACCAGAGAGAGACAACGAGATGGAGGGAAGACAGTGACAAGCATGACACAGTCTACCAGAGAGAGACAGAGATGGAGAGGAAGACAGTGACAAGCATGACACAGTCTAACCAGAGAGAGACAGAGATGGAGGGAAGACAGTGACAAGCATGACACAGTTACCAGAGAGAGACAGAGATGGAAGGAAGACAGTGACAAGCATGACACAGTCTACCAGAGAGAGACAGAGATGGAGGGAAGACAGTGACAAGCATGACACAGTCTACCAGAGAGAGACAGAGATGGAGGGAAGACAGTGACAAGCATGACACAGTCTACCAGAGAGAGACAGAGAATGGAGGGAAGACAGTGACAAGCATGACACAGTTTCTACCAGAGAGAGACAACGGATGGAGGGAAGACAGTGACAAGCATGACACAGTCTACCAGAGAGAGACAAGAGATGGAGGGAGACAGTGACAAGCATGACACAGTCTACCAGAGAGAGACAGAGATGGAGGGAAGACAGTGACAAGCATGACACAGTCTACCGAGAGAGACAAGAGATGGAGGGAAGACAGTGACAAGCATGACACAGTCTACCAGAGAGAGACAACAGAGATGGAGGGAAGACAGTGACAAGCATGACACAGTCTACCAGAGAGAGACAAAGAGATGGAGGGAAGACAGTGACAAGCATGACACAGTCTACCAGAGAGAGACAGAGATGGAGGGAAGACAGTGACAAGCATGACACAGTCTACCAGAGAGAGACAAGAGATGGAGGGAAGACAGTGACAAGCATGACACAGTCTACCAGAGAGAGAGACAAGAGATGGAGGGAAGACAGTGACAAGCATGACACAGTCTACCAGAGAGAGACAGAGATGGAGGGAAGACAGTGACAAGCATGACACAGTCTACCAGAGAGAGACAGAGATGGAGGGAAGACAGTGACAAGCATGACACAGTCTACCAGAGAGAGAAAAGAGATGGAGGGAAGACAGTGACAAGCATGACACAGTCTACCAGAGAGAGACCACGAGATGAGGGAAGACAGTGACAAGCATGACACAGTCTACCAGAGAGAGACAGAGATGGAGGGAAGACAGTGACAAGCATGACACAGTCTACCAGAGAGAGACAACAAGATGGAGGGAAGACAGTGACAAGCATGACACAGTCTACCAGAGAGAGACAAAGAGATGGAGGGAAGACAAGTGGGAGAAAATGAGACAGATGAAAGTCAAATGGAGAGTTGGACAGTTAAAATAGTCACAATTTTGTTAGAGCTCAAAACGTGTAGTCTGATCACTCTGATGCTCCTAGGTGCCAGCGAAAGTGAACCTGTGGCCCCAGGCAGGACATGCACCTCCCTGAAACTCCAGATAATTCCATAGCAGACATCTCAGCTCTAACCCCAGAGAGCACTACATCTATCACAGTCAGACTGAGCATCTAGTAGCTCCAAATCACACAGCTAATCACTTCCACTAACAACAACAGCTCATTTTCCCTTCTCACATTCCCCTCTTCTTCATAGCAATTATTGCTTAAGCGTTTCACTGATATGCTAACCAGAAACTCTTCAAAAGACAAAGTGGTATAATTTTCTGGATGCAGTCAAAACTGCATTTGATCTAATCTAATGATCTAATGATCAAAACAAAAAACAAAAAATAATATTTCACCTTTATTTAACCAGGTAAACCAGTTGAGAACAAGTTCTCATTTACAACTGCGACCTGGCCAAGATAAAGCAAAGCAGCTCGATAAAAACAACAACACAGAGTTACATATGGGATAAACAAAACGTACAGTCAATAACACATTAGAACATCTATATACAGTGTGTGCAAATGTAGTAAGTTATGGAGGTAAGGCAATAAATAGGCCATAGTGCAGAATAATTACAATTTCGTATTAACACTGGAATGATAGATGTGCAGAAGATGATGTGCAATGATCTAATGGTCTAATGGTCTAATGATCTAATGGTCTAACGATCTAATGATTTAATGGTCTAATGATTTAATGGTCTAATGATTTAATGATTTAATGATCTAATGGTTAATGATTTAATGGTCTAATGATCTAATGGTCTAGTGATCTAGTGATCTAATGGTCTAGTGATCTAGTGATCTAGTGATCTAATTGTCTAATGGTCTAATGATCTAATGATCTAGTGATCTATGATCTAATGATCTAATGGTCTAATGGTCTAATGATCTAATGGTCTAATGATCTAATGGAAGCTGTGGAGCTGGAGTGAATACCTAACATTTACAGTAGAGACTCCAGTTAATTCAGGAGGCCATCTTTATTTAACAGAAGTCCTTTAATGAATGAATAATGAATAATGGGAGACTAAAGACTATTTGTTGCATATCATTCCCTGGTTTGGTGGATGTTCAGTCAGTGGGCGTTGCTCTCACCTCTTGGGAAACAGGGTGCAGCGATGCAGGCCGCTTCGTTTGGGGACTGGCGTAAAGGGGTAACGGCGCCATGGCGAATAAGCACCTGGACAGACAGCAGCATGTAGTCCACAGGGCTGTGTCCTGGGAGGGGAGAGGAACATGCACATTTATCATCACCATCCCCATCATTGTCATCATCACCATCATAATCATGATCGAACACACAACCCTGGCGTTGCAAGCGCATTTGACTTACCAACTTGAGCTACACGGGGGCCATCCCCATTAATCAGCACCATCATAATCATAATCATCACATCACCATCATAGTTATGATAGTGATTTAATTTAAATAAATAACATTTCTTGCCTCATTTTGGTGTATACACCAAGCACAACATAAGAGGAAGTGGGGTGACAGATAAATTTACGTATGTATACAAGTGACTCAATCCTTATTGAAATCTGAAGTGTGCTGTCTTGAGTCACTGTGCGAGTGCATGGTTTTGGATTTGAATAAATCTTTGAGTTTACTGTGCCAACTGACTGACTGGACTGACTGATGAGAGGCAACAGTTCCAGCTCCCTTCACCCCCAGGTCAGATGTTTGTCGAGACCACAGCGGCGTAAAATAATAGTGCTAGCGATTAGTGCTTTTTGATGGGTCAGTTTGGTTTCGGTCAATTATTTAAAAAATAATCACGTTTGCAATTTGGTTTTCGGATTAGTAAAACATTTTCACCATGACCTTTATCCTCTCTATCCTCTAACTGACCATGACCCCGTTATCCTCTCTCTCCTTAACCAGACCCTTATCCTCTCTCTCCTCTAAACTAACCAGACTCTTTATCCTCTCTCTCCTCAACTAACCTGACCCTTTATACCTCATATCCTCGATATAACCATGACCCTTATCCTCCTCTCTCATCTAACCGAACTTTATCCTCTCTCTCCTATAACATGACCCTTTATCATCTCTATCCTCTAACTAACCATGACCTTATCCTCTATATCCTCGCCCAAAAATGACCTGTATCCCATTCTCCTCCTTCTAACTAACCATGACCTTTATCCTCTATCTCCTCAACCATGACCTTTATCCTCCTATCCTCTAAACTAACCATGACCCTTATCCTCTCTTTTGTTAACAAACAATGACCCTTTATTCCTCCTCTATCCTCTAAATAAACATGACCCTTTATCCTTCTCATCTCTAACCATGACCATTATCATCTCTCTCCTCTAACTACATGCCCTTTATACTCTCTATCTCTAATAACCAGACCCTTATCCTCTCTCTACTCAACTAAAACCATGACCCGTTATCCTCTAATCCTCAACTAAACCATGACCCTTTATCCTCTCTATCTCTACCATGACCCTTATCCTCCTCTCCTCTAACAACCATGACCTTTATCCTTCTATATCCTCTAACTAACCATGACCGTTATCCTCTCTCTCTCTAACTAACCATGACCCGTTATCCTTCTCTCATCTAACCATTGACCCGTTATCCTCTCTATCTCTAAATAACCATGACCCTTTCTCCTCTATCCTTCTAACATGACCCTTTATCCTCTCTATCCTCTAACCATGACCTTTATCCTCTCTCTCTCTAACTATGACCCTTATCTCTCTATCTCTAAAAACTAAACCCTGACCTTTATCCTCTCTATCCTCTAACAATGACCCTTTATCCTCTCTATCCTCTAAAATAACCATGACCTTTATCTCCTCTAATTTAAACCATGACCCTTTATCCTCTCCTACTCTAACTATCCCTGGACCTTTATCCTCTCTATCTCTAACTAACCATGACCTTTCTCCCCCTTCCTCTCTAAACCTGACCTTATACCTCTCTCCTCTAACTAAACCAGGACCCTTTATCTCTATATCTCTAACAAGGACCCTTTATCCTCTATCTCCTCAACTAAACCATGACCTTTATTCCTCCTCCTACTCTTGCTAACAAGACCCTTATCCGCTCTCTCCTCTAAACCTAACCATGAACCCTTTATCCTCTCTATGCTCTAACTAACCATGGACTCTTGATCCTCCTATTCCTCTAACTAACCATGGACCTGTATACTCTCTCTCCTCTAACCATGACTCTTTATCCTCTCTCTCCTCTAACCATGACCCTTTATCCTCTCTCTCCTCTAACCATGACCCTTTATCCTCTCTATCCTCTAATAACCATGACTCTTTTCATCTCTATCTCTAAACTAACATGATCTTTATCCTCTCTATCATCGAATAACCATGACCCTTTATCCTCTCTCTCCTCTAACTAACCATGACCCTTTATCCTCTCTATCCTCTAATAACAATTGACCCTGATCCCCCCGTCTATACCCTAACTAACCATGGCCCTTTATCCTCTCTTCCTCTAACGAACATGACCCTTATCCTCTATCTCCTCTAACCAGGACCCTTTATCCTTCTCTCTCCTCTCTACTAACCATTTGACACTTTATCTCTCTCCCTCTAACCATGACCCTTTATCCTCTCTATCCTCTAACTAACCATGACCCTTTATCCTCTCTATCCTCTAACCATGACCCTTTATCCTCTCTCTCCTCTAACATGACCCTTTATCCTCTCTCTCCTCTAACCATGACCCTTTATCCTCTCTCTCCTCTAACTAACCATGACCCTTTATCCTCTCTCTCCTCTAACCCAGACCCTTTATCCTCTCTATCCTCTAACTAACCATGACCCTTTATCCCTCTTCTCCTTAACATGACACTTTATCCTCTCTACCTCTAACTAACCATGACCCTTTATCCTCTCTATCCTCTAACCATGACCCTTTATCCTCTCTATCCTCTAACCATGACCCTTTATCCTCTCTCTCCTCTAACCATGACCCTTTATCCTCTCTATCCTCTAACTAACCATGACCTTTATCCTCTTCTCTCCTCTAACCATGACCCTTTATCCTCTCTATCCTCTAACTAACCATTGACCCTTTATCATCTACACTCACCATGACCTTTTATCCCTCTATCCTAGAACTAAACCATGACCCTTTATACTCTCTCTCTCTAACCATGACCTATCCTCTCTCCTCTAACCAGGACCCTTTTTTCCCTCTCTCCTCCTAACAACCATGACCCTTTATCCTCTCTCTCCTCTAACCATGGACCTTATCGCTCTTATCCTCTAACTAACCATGACCCTTTTATCTCTCTATCTCTAACTAACCATGACTCTTATTCCTCTCTATCTCTAACTAACCATGCCCCTTATCCTCCTCTCGCTAAACAACCATGACTTCTTTATCCCTCTCTCTCCTCTAACCATGACCCTTTATCCTCTCTCTCCTCTAACTAACCATGACTTTATACTCTCTACATTAACCTAACCAGGACTCTTTATCTCTTATCCTCAACAAACATGCGCTTTATACTCTCTTCTCTAAAATAACATCGCCCTTTATCTCTCTCTCCTCTAACTAACCATGACCCTTTATCCTCTCTATCCTCTAACTAACCATGACCCTTTATCCCCTCTATCCTCTAACTAACCATGACCTTAATCCTCTCTCTCCTCTAACTAACCATGACCCTTTATCCTCTATCTCCTCTAACCAGGACCCTTTATCCTCTCTCTCCTCTACATAAACATGGACACTTTTCATCGCTCTCTCCTCTAAAACATGGACCCTTTATCCTCTCTATCCTCTAACTAACCTGACCCTTTATCCTCTCTATCCTCTAACCATGACCCTTTATCCTCTCTATCTCTAACCATGACCCTTTATCCTCTCTCTCCTCTAAACCATGGACCCTTGATCCGGCTCTATCCCGCGAACAACAGGACCTATTATGCCGCGCGCGCGCAGAAAACAGGCACCCTTATCGCCGCGAGCTCGTAATCAACCAGGACCCTTTATCCTGCTCTTATTCCTCTAACTAAAAGGACCCTTTATCTCTCTCTCCTCTAACTAACTATGGGACCTGTATCCTTAATCCTCTAACTAACCATGACTCTTTATCCTCTCTATCTAACTAACCATGACCCTTATCCTCTATTCTTAATTAACCAGGACCCTTATCCTCTCTCTCCTCTAACTAACCAGACCCTTTAACTCTCTCTCTCTAACCAGACCCTTTATCCTCTCTCTCTCTAACTAACCAGGACACTTTATCCTCTCTACCTCTAACTAAAAAGACTCTTTTCCTCTCTATCCTCTAACTAACCATGACTTACTTATCTCTCTCTCTTAACTAACATGACCCCTTATCCTCTCTATCCTCTCTACTAACCAGACCCATTATCCTCTCTCTCATCTACTACCACTGACCCTGTATCCTCTAAATCCCTAACTGAACCATGCCCATTTTCCTCTATCTCCTCGAACAATGACCTTATCCTCGCTCTCCTCTAACTAACCATGACTTTATCTTCTATATCCTCTAACCATGACCTTATCCTCATCTCCTATAACTAACCAGGACCCATTTATCCTATCATTCATCTAACAAGACTCTTTATCCTCTCTATCTCTAACTGCCATGACCTTATCCTCTCTATCATCTAACCATGACCCTTTATCCTCTCTCTCCTCTAACCATGACCACGTTATCCTTCTACTCTAAATAACCATACTCTTTAATACTCTCTATCCTCTAACCATGACTTTTATCCTCCTTACCTCTAACTAAAAATGACCTTTATATTATCTATCCTTTAACCAGACCCTTTATCTTCTTCTCTCTCAACCATGAACACTTTATCCTCTCTCTCCTCTAACTAACCCATGACCCCTTTATATCTCTCCCTCTAACCATGACCCTTTATCCTCTATCTCCTCTAAACCAGAGACCCTTTATCCATCTCTCTACTAACATAACCATGACCCTTATCCTATCTCTCCTTAACAATGAACTTTATTCCGCTCTCTCCTCTAACTAACCATGACCCTTGATACGCTCTACCTCTAACTAACCATGACTCTTTATCCTCTCTATCATCTAACAACCTTGACCCTTTATCCCCTCTCTCTAACTACAATGCCTCTTTATCCTTCTCTCTCCTATAACCATGACCCTTTGCTCTATCCCTCTAACTAACCATGACCCTTTATCCTCTCTATCCATCTAACTAACCAGACTC